CTCATCTGGCTATTCATTCGTATCGTAAACTGTCAGACATAGGTAAAGTATTTTCCTGAGTTCTAAAAGCTGTTGTAGCAAATGCTGAAACCTGAGAAGATCATCATGGGACTCCCCAACTTACATCCAGTTGTTCAGAAGTGTAGGTGGCCTTGACTTGTCATTGGCATCTAAAATGGGAGCAGTCTTGTGGGATTGAGCTCTTAATCAGTGGGATCTGTGCTAACGCTGGATATTTAGTGTCAGCAATGAATAGAACTGTCAGACACTCAGTTGGTGTTTGAAATGCTGGAGAATTTGTTGTTGGTGTTAAAAAAAAAAAAAAAAAACCTCACATATTTGGTGTCAGAAGTGCTGTGAGTACAAAAAAATGTTTTTTGTTTTTTGTTTTTTTTTCATTTTACTAGCAAATTTGGGATTGGAATAAAGGTGTCTGGATTCCCAGTGTATTCTATACACAAATCTTCACAGAGGGAGTAGGATAAAAGTCACTGGGTGTGAATGAAAACATGACTGTATAATCGTGCCTTAGAATATGGATGGGATAGGGTGGGTGACAGGAGATGTGGTCATAAAGTTCTCACAGGGCTGCTCTAAACTACACTGAAAACCATTTCAGAAGCCATGCAATTGATTACCCTGTTCTTTGGATTTTCTGACTTTAAGTGACAGTTTTTAATATCAACATGTCTTAAAGTCCAGTGTGTATTAAGTCATCTAAGGTATTTATTAAAAATCTGCCAAGGCAGAGCTAGTGTTAAGGGAATCCACAGGCCGCACTGAGAATCACTAATTTAGATCCTCTTTTAAAGGCCTCTTCTAAGCTAAGATGGTTTGTTTACACACAGCCAGGGAAAAATTCTAGATTGGTGGCTCCCTAAAGTGGTTCTTAAATAAGCCGCATCAAAGGCACATGAGAAGCTTTTTAAAATTTCTGACCCCACCCCTCTCATTCCTCCCCAAGACGATGAAATACAAATTGAGGGGAAGGGAGCGGAGAAATATCACGGGGGATTTCAGCATACACGGATTTCAGTATCCTCGGGGGGTTTTGGAACCAATTCTCCCAAGAACACTGTGAGAAGACTGTATAAATTTGTGGAAAATAATGGGACATTTGCTGATTGCAGATTCACAATGTAGACAGGAAATCATGAAGAAAATGAAACCATTCTCAGATTTCCCTGATTACACAAACTTTTGTTTATGGGTAAAACTCATGGGAAGTGCTGACCTAGATAAATTAAAGGGCTGTAGAAAAATCCTTCCTTAGAATTGCCAAAAAATTGTTCTACTTGGCCAGCACATCAATGACTATAAAATTTTTAAAGTTGTATTCAATGGGCCATGGCATCTTATTGGGAGCGACACACTATTTCAACAAGTTGATTAACTATTTGATTCAGGGAAAGACTGACTTCCACATAGAGCATATAATCTTTAAGAACTATCATTTTTTAAACTATTATTCTGAAATAATTTCAGATTTATAGAAATGTGTTTAAAAGTACAACTGAGTTCAGTATTTCCTGCTCCCACATTCCCAAAATGTTAGCAGTTCCCCACATTTTTCATTATCCTCTCTCTGTATATGTATACAAATACACACACTTCTTTTTTCCTGAACCATTTGAGAGTACGTTGGTGACATGGTACCTCTTTAAAACCAAATACATGTGTGTATTGTTAAAAGCATATTCTCCTATGTAACTACAGCATAAATACCAAGAAATTAGCATTAGTGCTATTATCCAATCCACCGGACTTATTCAAATTTTTCCCGTTGTGCCAGTGATGTCCTTTATAACAGGGGTCCCCAACTCCTGGGACCATGGACCAGTAGCAGTCTCAGTCCCTGGCCTGTTAGGAACTGGGCCGCACAGCAGGAGGTGAGCAGCAGGTCAGCAGGTAATACTGCCTGAGCTCTTCCTCCTGTCAGATCAGCAGCATTAGATTATTAGATTCTGATAGGACCGGGAACCCTATTGTGAACTGCACATAGGAGGAAACCAGCTGGTGTGTTCCTTATGAGAAGCTGACTAATGCCTGATGATCTAAGGTGGAACAGTTTCATCCCAGAGCCACCCCCGCCCTCCTGCCCCTGGTCAGTGGAAAAATTGTTTTGCATGAAAGGGGTCCCTGGTGCCAAAAAAGTTGGGAGCCACTGCTTTTATATATGTATGTGTGTGTGTGTGTGTGTGTGTGTGTGTGTGTGCATATGTATATATATAAATGTTCTATACACACAAATAGATATGTGTACACATTAAAAATATACATATGTATGTATTTTTTCTTTTCCTGGCCCAGAATACCCTGTTGCATCTAGCCTTCGTACCTCTTTAGTCTCCTTTGTTCTGAAACTGTTCCTTAGTATTTGTTTTTCATGATATTATTTTTGAGGAATATTTTGTACAAATCTGTCAGCTTGGATTCACCTGATGTTTCATGAGTAGATTCAGGTTATGTATGCATTTTCAGCAGGAGCCATGTGTGTGCTCTTCTCAGCAAGCATATGGTATCTAATTTTCTCACTACTAGTGATGTTAACTTTTATTACTTAAAGTGGTGTCTATTAGGTTTCTATACTGCAAACAACTTTTTCCTTGCGGAGTGTCGTACATAATTTGAGACTATGTACATATCCTGTTTCTCATCAAACTTTCACCTACTAATTTAGCATCCATTGATGATTCTCACTCCAAAAATTACTACCATGGTAGATGCCATGTGCTTTTCTAAATCCAGCATTCCTTTTACATGAGCAGGAAGACTTTCTTCAGCTTTCTATTCATTCATTCGTATCTGTGTGGGATCATGGTTTCTTATTCCATGTGTTATTATTCATTACTATGATGATCTACTTTGATGCTCAAGTTACCCCAGACTGGCCAGTGCTAAACCCTCAATCGCTGTGTCCTTTAGATATTTCCCATCATTATTTGAGTACTTCCTTTCCGGGAGAGCAAGTATTTTAGACTCATTTGTGTTTTCCCTGTCACAGCCCAGGAATCAGACATCTAAGACTTTCTTTTTTTTTTAAGTAGAGAATTTAGACACCAAGATCTGAGTGCCCACGGTTGTTGTTGGACTGTCACTGCTACCAGGCTCTCTCAGAGGACGGAACTAGGAAATACATGTGTGTCTGTGTGTATGTATTTCTACATTTTAAATATTTGTATATTTATATTAACCTATACATATTTTTTAAAACTCATGAATTCATACTGATGCTTCTAATTCTAATCCAATACCATAGGGAAAAAAAAAAACCCGTAATTTTTAATTGCTCTCTTGAAACTACACCAAGCACACAGGCTTAATGTCATTTAACTCTTCATGCTGTAGAACAGGTGCTAGAAGATATACTGCAACCACACAGTGCCAGTCATGTACATCCATTTACTAACTCAATACATTTACTAGATGCTTTGCATGTGCTGGGCACTTGGCAAGGAATATGGGAAGAAAAGATTTTGTCCTATCCTAAAGCAGCTCAATCCATTAGGCAGGACAGAAGAAAATAATAATATAGTAGAATGAGATCTTTATTCAAGGTATGCCCAGTGTTCTATAGGAAGAAAGGAAGAGCACAGAGCTCAACCTGAGTTAACCGAATTATTTCAGAGAAGGAAGTAAAAATAGGCAGCTTATATTACTCATTGGAAGAATTGTTAGATTTTTACATGTTTGCATAAAATAAAGAGTGTACTTTGCTTCTGAGTAGAAATACATTTTATGGAGAGTTCTGATTTATCTAAAAGTGTTCTCTGCATTGATTGAATTCATCAGAAAACTGCTCAGGCATGACAACAGCTGTGCAAATAAATTCCCAGGCTCAAAGCTTGTGTTTCATTTTTTGTACTAGACTCCTTCCAAAGATCATTCAGGAAAGAGCAACTTCAGATTTTTAAAAATGCTTATTTTCCCAGAGTGAGTTTTCTTCCTTTTTTTTTTTTTTTTATTTTTTTAAACAAATTAAACTGGCTTGTCATTGTATTGACTGTCATCCTCTTGGGTAGTTTATATACACTAACTTTCTCCTATCTAAACTTATCTTAAACTAGAGAGAGGTCAGAGGTCTAGTAAGGAAAGGGAAAGGTCTGTGTATGTGAGCATGTCAGGGTATACATCTGGAAAGTAAAAGCTAAGAAAAAAAATGCAGAGGAGAAAAGTATTATGGTAAAAAATGATAACATTTTTATTATTTTTGTTGTCTTAAACATAAAGCATTCTTATCAAATTTTACCACTGCTTTTAAAAATTATTTTAAAAAAACAAACGTAGGCTGTCTCCTGCTTTGTGTTCCCCTGGCCAGTTTCCCCCACTTCTAAGTCTCGCACTCTAATGCTGCTTTTTTCACCAAGAATCCTAGCCTACAAAGTTGCTCAGGAAAATGCATAAGTAAAGATTATCAGTACTAGACGCTAATCTTCATGCGATCTGTCATCGTTCCTTCTTCTACAAAATGGTTCCCTAGTATAGCTGATACCACAGAAAAAGGTAGAAATTGAGACATGCATATGCACCTTCTCGTCATTCTAAGACCAGAGTCAAACATGACGGATTGTTCAGTTACCATTTTTTCTTTTATATTTATTTAGTGACCTTAGATCCTAGAAGATAGTTTCCCTATAAAATCATTTTAGCCATGAAATATTCATAAGAAATAAACTTCACATGTTAATGAGGATACTGAAGGTTTTTTTTAACTTAAAAAAACTGGCAATTTTAGGTAACCATAAAGGTGAGGCAAGCGTAATTCAGGTTCTTGGGAAGAATCCTGCCTACCCATTGTTAGCTGCCTCTGGGTGCAAAGCACTTATGATCACTGTAGAGGTGAAGCAATGCAAAGTACTGTGTCAGCAGTCCATGTTGTGACATCAGCAGCATCTACAGAAAACGTGGCTCAGATACATTGGCTTACACAAGGAATGCTAAGTAAAGTGAGCCACCAGGTAGGAGATTTAACACAGGTAATGATTAATGAAAGCTTCTTAGAAAGTGAGTATTTGTAATTACCTTATTAAACTTTACATCAGTGTAAAGGCTCTAGCCATCATAATCACCACCATATAATATATGAGGGAGAAAGTGAGTATTTGTAATTACCTTATTAAACTCTACATCAGTGTAAAGGCTCTAACCATCATAATCACCATCATATAATATATAAGTGAGAAAGTGAGAATTTGTAATTACTTTATTAAACTTTACATTAGTGTGAAGGCTGTAACCATCATAATCACCATCATATGTAAGTGTACATATGTAAAAAATTCCCATTGAACATAAAATTTATGTTTTGAAATCTATGCAACATGAAATATAGTTTGATATAAAAAACCCGACCAATCAGAAACATGAAACGCAGTATGTTTTAATAAAAGCCTGCGGCTGGTTCTGGAATGACTGTTGCGTGCATGTCCCTAGTCATGTTAGACTTCTCCTTCAGCCTTGATTGGAGTAACGTGTGTTCCACAATCCCAATTCTAATGTCCATCTCTACAGTTTCTTGCTTCAGTTTTGTTAAGCTCTGTTTAATCTTCACCAAAGGAGCTGTAGAATGAAAATAACATGAAATAAAAATGTTCATTTGGAACATCAGTGCATTACAGAATTGTATGACATTTTCCTCACTTTGTCAAGCCAAAAATAGGGTTAAAAACATAGCCAGCAACTTACTGACATTCACACAGTTTTGTTGTGGCATTTTAAGCACCTGAGATTTTTAGGATGAAAAAATGATGCAGTATTTGATGTACTGAGGCTAAGCTTTCTTCCTTTTCTAGGAGAAGAGCTAAACAGGTGTTTAAGGATGTGTTCAAGATGATTTTATGAGCTAGTATATTTGTCTGCAGGAAAAGGAAATACAAAGCGGGGAAAGGGGAAAAGAGAATTATCTTTGAGACATAGATAATGGGCCCAGTTAAAATATATTGAAAAAAAACAAACAAACCCTAAGCATTCCCTTTTGCAAGATCATTCAGTATATATCAATAGAACTCTAGAATTTTTTTCTAGGGCATAGAAAAGCCTTTGGAAATCAGTACTGGCCCATATCAAAGTAACCCACTCACAATGAAGGATGATTACCAGAGGATGATTAATTCTTCTCTATTTGACCCCTGCCCAGTCAGTTCTACTGGGGAGGAGCAAAAATAAACTAAGGGTTACTACATCACTGCCTTAGTGTCATTTGGGCATATACTTAGTGCCCTTTTGTACATAAAATAGAAAAAATAAAGCTCATTTGATGAAAACAGAATATAATATTTTTAAAATTGGCATAACAAAGCACATATTTTAATATTTCCCACCCTTTCAATCAATTTTAAAAACCTCTAAATTATAGTAAAAAAGCCTACTACCTTCTCAGCTGATGAATAAGAAAAACAGTACACTGAATATTAGACTATTTTTGCACCATAAATCTTTCTTCAAACAAGCAACAAATAATTTGTTTTAAAAAGCAGTCTTTATATATTAATACAATTTTGTTAAGTAGGTTTCTTGAAGAGCTATTTTTCTCTTGCTTTTTCCCCTAAAATGAGCGTGTACTTACCACCATCAGTCATGCTGCTGCCTTTTTCTTCCATTTCTTGTTTTACCTTTTCCAATTCTTCCATAACCTTTCATGAAAAAATGTTTTCATGAGCCTTACCTTGTAAGAAACTTTCAAAATTTTTGAATTATGTATTAAGAAAATTTAATTTAGATATGAGGCACACATAAATAAAGATATTAGGAATATTCTGAATATATTCAAATAATAAGATAAATTGTGCAGATATAGAAAGCTTTTCAGCTTCAGAATGCTCCTAATGTTACACTTCACCAAATGACTGTAACATCAGCTTTCTCATGTTGCAATATACTAAATACAATCAAAGTTGTTTTAGTCACCAGGCACTCAAACCTTACAATTAGCTCATAGCATATACCTTGCCATTCTCTAACAATTGGTTGTTAATTAGAATAATACAAACATCCTAAAGAGACTTTAGATTTCTAAAGGTTTTCTGGATATCTTTCTTACTATTATAGGTCTATAAGGCACTATGTCACCTTTTCCTCTACAGGACACTAAAGAAATGTGTATATCATATGGCTATGTATAACAATATTTTTAATGCTCTATCCAAATCACGAACTCCAAACTCCAGGAGGCATACTGTGCTGTTAGGCTGGTTCCTATCTGAACTCTTATCTGGTGATTATACTACCGTAGCCTCTATTATTAGCAAAATTCCAAACCAGCATTCATATAAGTAGAAAATATCATCTTTAAGGAATTGAAAAAAATTTTATATGATCTAGAACTAAGTTATAATTATTGTGACTTAGTAGGCTTTATTTTTATAATACTGGTGAGTAAAACCTTCCCTGGGAATAAAGTGCTCGTCCAAGTAAAGCAAATTAATTTTTTCAGGCACCTGAAACGTTACAACTGGGGATAACTATCGACTCCAAAAGAAGTAAATGGTTCCCTGGACTCCTTTCAAGTGTTAATTTACCTAAGGTAAGTGAGCACTTTACTTCTGCATACGGTTTTATTTGCTTAGAAGCACCACAGGATTAGAGTCTAAATATTTCGAATGTTATATTTTTAGTATTTTAAAATAACTTTATTTCTCAAATAATCTCTATAAAAGAGGCTTACTTCTTTCTTGTCAAAACAGTAAGGTTTGTTTTAATTACACTGGATTGTAACCAAAGATCATCTTGGATTTTAGTCCCAAATAAACTGCTGACCTTTTTTCATGGTTTTTTCCTCCTTCGGCTCTTCAGTGAAAAATGGGAATACATATTAAGTCCTGCCTCTCTTGCAAGATCATAAAAATAAATGCAACTATTTATTTTTATGCAAACATTCTAGAAGTTCTCAGGAGGAGGAGGTTATAAGCCACACCCAATTGTAGACAGAGAAATACCCAGGACACGCACAAGTTATTGATAATTGTCACTAAAAATAAACCTTATATCTTAAAGATTAATGTTAAAATTTGTTATAGATTCCCTGAGTCAGTGCTTTACCTACTTTCCTCCATGTCAATAATAATTATTATGTAAAAGATATTGAGGAAAGTTATAAGTGTGCTAATATTATGAGCAGGTTTTATGTTGAATTTAATAGAAGTTTTCAGGCATCTTGTGGAAGTAAGAAATGTATCAATTATTGATTCACTGATAGGAAAATTAGGGATTGTCTCCTCAAGAAAATTATTTAAAGGCACAGGAAGCAACTGAAATTAGCAGTGTTAAACCGTCTGGGGGTTCTCAATGGCTGGGCCCAGCTGACACGCGAGAAGCAGGGCAAGAGCATCGGTGTGTACCTCAGACAGGAGTCTGGTCCTTTCCGTTACTCCTCCGTTTCCCTGCTGGTATCGCTCCTTTGCCTGAGAGAAAACATATTTTGTTTAATGGCAAAATCAAAGCGGCTGCGGATTAAATATGACTGACCTCTTTGTGTTTGCAATTTCTGCATGTTATTTTATGACAACCCCCACTCCTTGTTTGTGAATACATTTGTGAAAGTGACATTTAACTGAGGCCTTTTTATGTCCCTAACAGGCGCCATGTATTTAACTAAAGTGCTACAAAATGATGAACTACCTTAACCTTCACAAACTGACTGTGTACCTCTCATGGGCATGGTTCACAATAAAAACTGTCCTTGGTCATTCCTAAACAGTTTAGGAGAGTGGATCTTGGTCAATCTAATTTGCATGCTATGCAGAGAAAATCAGTTCAAAAAAATCAATCAAAGTAGAATATGAAGCTCAGCAATTAATAAGGATTAACATGCAGTATGACAGGACAATCAATTGGAGTATGTTCTTGGAAGCTAACAATCAATTATATAATATTAATTTAGACAGATACATGGTGGCTTCAATCAGAGAGTTTTACATCATTTTGATAGTTAAAATATCCATAAGTGTGTATATGAGGAAACATATGCATATTAAATAATATGATCAAAAAGTGAAGATTTCTATTTGGTCTTTGAGAACTTCTTAAAGAATAGAAGTATCTCAAATTTATTTCTAATTTTTCTCTTTCTCAACTTTGTCTGGTAAAGCCAAAAAATATGGCTTCAACTGATGTTTACAAGTATCATTACGAGTCTTCTTTAACATCAGAAAATACGGGGCATAAATCCCAAAGGAAAGCTTTTAGATCCCTACTACTGGGACGCATAACTGGTGCTTTCAAAGGCTAGTGATTTTGTTTTTTGGTTAAAATTCTAAAACTTTGAAAGAATGAAAAGATTATCTCATTTTATCAATTAAACTGTTTGTCTCTGAATATGTGTTGCTTTCACATTCCTTCTTATGTGGTGGTAAGCCAGAACCGCAAGGACTGTCTTTTTCCTTTGATACATGTAAATGCATAGTATTCTTCTTCCTCCTACGCATATGGTAAATTAACAACAGACTTAGAAATAAAACCAGGTGTCCTGATACTCTGTTCCTGTTCTAAGCTATGTTTCCCAACAACATATGCCTTCGTTTACTTAACTCAAATGAAGATGTGCATTTAAAGACTTCTAGGAGAAAACAATTTCTATTACTTGTAAAACGAAAATAAGTTAACTTGGCTTGCTTGGCTTCCTAAAGTGGGCAGAGAGTTGATGTTTTGCTGTTTATGAAAAGCATTTCATGATTCTCAAATGAACAATATTGTGTCAAGATTAGGGTTTAGGGTTGTTAACTTGGAATAAATCCCTGGAAATCATTTGTAAGTTACCTCACTCAGCTGGGCTTGAGCTGCGCGATATTCTTGAACCAAATTCTCAAGCTGATTGTTGATGTACTTTTCTCGGCTGCCGATCTTTTCCAAAGTCCTAGTTATTTCATTATGGAGTTTGTCCAAAAATCCCTAGAAATTCCATGGGATTTGCAGATATAAGAACTCACAAATGTATTTTTTTTCAAAAATAGTTAAAAATGGGTTAAATCTCAATCAATTCTACAAATAATCAACTACACGTGCAAAAGAAGACAGTTTGAAATTTTCAATAGGACAAAATGTCTGTGATGAGAAATATTTTAATCATACTTTGAAGAATTTTAAAATAAAAAAGCACCTACCAGTGTTAGTCAATTCATTTGTCATTATGTATACATAAAATTTATGTGACTATAATTAGCTTTATATGTTTCCAGTCAAAGTAGGTAAGGAAATAACATGAGTTTCCTATAGCACAATTCAAGGTGACCGAAGTATTCCAGTTGGAAGTAGATCTGGAAGCCTGTAGCTCTAGCCTGGGACATACAACTTCTCACTCTAGCTTTGCTTCTTTGTGGCATTCTCTAAAGTTCCTATTTCTGGCCGGGCAGCAAGCCTGGGGAGGCTGTAAGTTATAGGCATTGGTGGCCTGGTGTTCTGTTCTCTTCTTACTTAAGATTCAGAGAGGAAAGAATGACAAAATGTTTCTAATATATGTATTAGATATATATTATACATACATCTATGTATATATACAGCTTTTATGAATATATGCTAGCATTCTTTAGTTGGTCTAAATATTAGGTTAGTTGAAATATAATATGGTACATTCAATTAGTAAGTTCCTTAAAGGCAAAAATTGTGTCTTTTCTTCTTTCATGTTCTCTCATAACAGGTGTTCCACAAATGAGTAAATGTCTATTGATTCACCTAAAGTAATTCCTATACCTTGGTCTCCTTTAGAGCAGATTCAATTCCATTTTTGTGCTGGTGCATTTGGTCAACATGGATTCTCCAGTCCTACAGGCAAAGAGCACATAGAAATAATGTAAAAAATACTACATTTCCTTCTTTCCCCCACTTCTTGTGAAGTTGTTTCCTTTATCTTAATTACTTTGGTTCCTGGCCTATTTCAGGTGGGAGAGTCCTATTTATACTTTGCAATCAGATTATAAAGAAAAATGTGTAGAGCACTTTAAGATAAAAGGCTCTAAATAAATGTAAATTATTTTATGTGTTCACAGAGTGATGTCTGACAATTGAAATATAAATTATGCCTGCACTGCTGGTGGTTAATATTTATGACTACCCATCAAAATGAAAAAAAAAAATTCTAATTACTAGAAAAGAACTACTCGTTTAAGCAGTAACATTTATGCTCCCAAAAGCAACTCTGAACTCAAACATCATATATCAAAAATTAGTTTGTCCCTTTGGAAATGAAAATGGGGCCTTCTACTTCATGAAGACTTTTGAGTCTCTTTCTCAGTAAAGGAAGTTAATAATGATTACTGGGGTTCATGTATTTTAAAGTACTGTCTATTACTACTAGACTAATCAGAATTAGTGTGCATATTTGAAATCTACATCAACATTTTAATTATCTACAAAATATACTGTATTAAAAATCAACATTTTATTTTCCTATAAAATATATTAAAAATATTTCAGTTCATTTCTAATAGTTTTTTATTGTATTTTATTTTACTTTAAGTTCTGGGATACGTGTGCAGAACGTGCATGTTACATAGGTATACACATGACATGGTGGTTTGCTGCACCCATCAATCCATCATCTAGGTTTTAAGGCCCATATGCATTAGGTATTTGTCCTAATGCTCTCCCCCTCCCCTTCTCCCCTACCCCGTGACAGGCCTTGGTGTTTGATGTTCCCCTCCTTGTGTTCATGTGTTCTCATTGCTCAACTCCTACTTATGAGTGAGAACACGAGGTGCTTGGTTTTCTGTTCCTGTGTTCGTTTGCTGAGAATGATGGCTTCCAGCTTCATCCATGTCCCTGCAAAGGACATGAACTCATTGTTTTTATGGCTGCATTGTATTCCATGGTATATATGTGCCACATTTTCTTTATCCAATCTATCATTGATAGGCATCTGTGTTGGTTCCAAGTCTTTGCTATTATAAACAGTGCTACAATAAACATATGTGTTCATGTGTCTTTATAGAATGATTTATAATCCTTTGGGTATATACCCAGTAATGGGATTGCTGGGTCAAATGGTATTGCTGATTCTACATCCTTGAGGAGTCACCACACTGTCTTCCACAATGGTTGAACTAATTTACACTCCAACAGTGTAAAAGTGTTCTTATTTCTCCATAACCTTACCAGCAACTATTTCCAGACTTTTTAATGACGGCCATTGTAACTGGCATGAGATGGTATCTCATTGTAGTTTTGATTTTCATTTCTCTAATGATCACTGATGATGAGCTTTTTCTTCATATGTTGTTGGCTGCATAAATGTCTTCTTTTGAGAAGTGTCTGTTCATGTCCAAAAAGTGGGCACTTTTTGATGGTTTTTTTCTTGTAAATTTGTCTAAGTTCCTTGTAGTTTCTGGATATTATACCTTTGTCAGATGGATAGATATCAAAAATTTCCTCCCATTCTGTATGCTGCCTGTTCAATCTGATTACAGTTTCTTTTGCTGTGCAGAAGCTCTTTAATTTAATTGATCCCATTTGTCAATTTTGGCTTTTGTTGAAATTGCTTTTGGTGTTTTACTCATAAAGTCTTTGCCTATGCCTATGTCCTGAATGGTATTGCCTGGGTTTTCTTCTCGGGTTTTTATGATTTTAGGTTTTATATTTAAGTCTTTAGTCCATCTTGAGTTAATTTTTGCATAAGGTGTAAGGAAAGGGTCCAGTTTCTGTTTTCTGCATATGGCTAGCCAATTATATACCTGATGAACATTGATGTGAAAATCCTCAGTAAAATACTGTCAAACCAAATCCAGAAGCACATCAAAAAGCTTATCCACATGATCAAATCAGCTTCATGCCTGGGCTGCAAGGCTGGTTCAACACATGCAAATCGATAAATGTAATCCATCACAGAAACAGAACCAATGACAAAAACCAAGATTATCTCAACAGATGCAGAAAGGCCTTTGATAAAATTCAACACCCCTTCATCATAAAAACTCTCAATAAACTAAGTACAGATAGAACATATCTCATTTAATAAGAGCTATTTATGACAAACTCATAGCCAATATCATACTGAATGGGAAAAAGCTGGAAGCATTCCCTTTGAAAACTGGCACAAGACAAGTATGCCGTCTCTGACCACTCCTATTCAACATACTATTGGAAGTTTTGGCCGGGGCAATCAGGCAATAGAAAGAAATAAAGGGTATTCAAGTAATAACAGAGGAAGTAAAATTGTCTCTGTTTGCAGATGACATGATTGTATATTTAGAAAACCCCATCATCTTGGCCCAAAAACTCCTTAAGCTGATAAGCAACTTCAGCAAAGTCTCAGGATACTAAATCAATGTGCAAAAATCACAAGCATTCCTGTACATCAAAAATAGACAAGCAGAGAGTCAAATCATGAGTGAACTCCCATTCAAAATTGCTACAGAGAGAAAAAAATACTTAGGAATACAGCTTACAAGGGACATGAAGGACCTCTTCAAGGAGAACTACAAACCACTGCTCAAGGAAATAAGAGAGGACACAAACAAATTGAAAAATATTCCATGCTCATGGTTAGGAAGAATCAATATTGTGAAAATGGCCATGCTGCCCAAAATAATTTATAGATTCAATACTATTCCAGTCAAGCTACCATTGACTTTCTTCACAGAACTAGAAAAAACTACTTTAAATTTCACATGGAACCAAAAAAGAGCCCATATAGCCAAGACAATCCTAAGCAAAAAGAACAAAGCCGGAGGCATCATGCTGCTTGACTTCAGACTATACTACAAGGCTACAGTAACCAAAACAGCATGATACTGATAAAAAAAAAAAAAAGCAGTTATATAGACCAATGGAACAGAACAGAGACCTCAGAAATAACATCATACATCTACAACCATCTGATCTACAAACCTGACTAAAACAAACAATGGGGAAAGAATTCCCTATTTAATACAAAGTAATACTTTTAAAAGGCTTGAGAAATACCCATTGTAAAAGAAAAATGTAGTAAGTTAAAGTAAGTGATGCAACTTGGCTGTTTCTTCATTGCACATGTCTGTTTGCATACCCCAATGCTCCACTTTACTATCTACACTTTTTTGTGAGTAAAGGGATGGATATCTTGTGAACAGTCCCATTCTACCTATTACGTAACTTTGAAATGGCCTAGTGACTGCAGGGTAAAAAACTTCTTGGGTAGTTCAAGCATACCAGTTGTAAAATTATAATATCTTAAAGCTGCAAAGAACCTCAAAAAGCATCCAGTCTCACCCTTGTCATTTTGCATATAAGCAAACAGAGACCTGGTGACAGCAAGGGACCCACCCAAGGCCACATAGATATTGGTGTACCTGGATCGAAGCCAAATATACTAATTTAAACACAACACACACTGGCAATTTGGAGTAAAGAAAAGGGGCAACTGGCTACCTGATAGTGAGGGTGCTAGAGCAGAAAACAAATCAGCACCTTCCGTTATCCTCAAGTATTTTCCTGTTTCATGGGCAAAAAGTGTCTCAGAACTGGAGAGCTGAAAAGAACCTTAGAGATCATCCATTCACCTACTCAACAATCATCTAGTGTAATGTTTTCATTTTATAGTTGAGGAGACTGTTCACCACCCGTGACTATGACTACACAGAGGTGGCAACGGAACAAGGCCCCTCCAAGTCAGCTAATCCACACTGGAACAAAGAGGAGGGACAGCTGGCTGGCCTCCTGCACCTGGACCAAATATGGGTAAACCTCAAAATGGAAACCTACTGAAGCCCAAATCAGCACCCTTATGAAAGAAAATGAACCTAACAAGCATCATTATCATTAATTTTTTGAAAAGTACTCATTCTGCCCGGTTCTAAAAAGAATTTCAGAGGCCTTAATAAACACTAAGCTCAAGTATTTACATATCTTCCCTCTTCCCATCAGTCTCTGTTTTTCTTTGCCTGTTTCTGTCCATATATATGTATGTAGAGAAATGCACATATATATATATATATACACACACACACACACACAATATATGTATATATTTATATAGTTTTTAACTTATTATAATGGATATGTTAAAATAGTTTGTGTTCTGCTATTTCTACTCAGCATTATTTATAAATATATTTTTGCATGTATTGACATTTAAAACATTTTGAGAGAAGCAACGATGCCTGACTCATCTATGTATAACTATGATAGCATACACTGATGTAAAAACTCCATGGAGGAGCTGGTATTTCTGTGGAAACTTGAAGCATAAGTAGCATTTCAACAGGCTGTGAAGATGTGGGGAGGAAGGCTATTCTCAGCTGAGGGAGTAACAGGAACAAGGAAAATACGTGGAGAACAAGTAGCCTAAAGCTGGCTAGCATGGAAAACACAAAGTTCTTGGGGTGGGTTCAGGAGGATAGATCATGAGAAAATAAAGCTGGAGAGGGAGGGAGGTTCAATTAGATCAAGGGCTTTGCTTACAACAACTAAAGAGTATAGATAAACTTTATTATGTAGATAATGGGGAGCTATCAGATGTTTTTGGTTTCAGCTTTAAACATAAGTGTGTGTTTTGAGAAAATAACAGAGCGAAGGACTGATTAGAAAGGCAAGAGGCTGAAAGCAGGGAGGGACCCAGTTAGGAGGCTAATAGTTCACATGACATAGGTAAGCAGGGTCTGAATTAGAGCAGTGCTTGTGAGAACAGAAGAGAAGGGATGGATTCAAGGGACATTTTGGAGGCAGAACCAGGAAAGCTTGAAGGCTGCCTAAAGGGAGGTATGTGCATGGGGTGACTGAAGTGAAGGTGGGGTAGCAGAGATAATGTGTCTTTGAGGTTTCTAGCCTGAGCAACTGAGCAGATATTAATA